AAGTTCTTGAAAAAACATGAAGCCTCCGGTAAAAGGTAAACTTCCAAACATTGAAAATGCTAAATAAAAAAAAAAAACAGTGATTAAATTTCTTATAATCTACAATTTTAGCATAAATATTAATAATGAGGGGTTTAAAAATTAACAAATAAACAGTGCATTTCGAAAATAAGTAGGATTTTTTAAATAGCATTTTTACTGTGTTGAATTATAAATCGAAAAGATAAAATAAAATTCTCTGGTTTTAATTTTGAGACTCCTTAATAAAGACTTTGAATTGGGGTTTTAAAATTAAAACCAGAGAATCTTAATTTATTTTTCTGATTTATAATTCAACACAGTAAAAATGCTATTGAAAAAATCCTACTTATTTTCGAAATGCTCTGCTTATTTGTTAATTTTGAAACCCTATTATTAAAGATCTAAATACTTTTTTCTTTAATAATGCTTACTTATCTCATTTATCTATTTATAATAAAATCTAATAATTGTGTTCTTAGAGGCTTTTTCATCAGATTTCAAATATCGTTTTATTTCACATGCTATTTGATAATGATAATTCAAAACTAGTCAACAACTAATTTTCTATAGTATGATTAAATTTGCCTTGTATAAAAGTTTAAATACATATACCCAGCTGAAGTTTTATTATTTTTCGCATCTTTTTTAGCTTTTACCTTCTACTCTACAGTTAGCCTTGGTAACCTATTTTTGTATCATTTACCAAATAAATTACAATTAGCTTCTTTTTTAGCTTGCGCATCAAACAACAAGACAAATGTTTGTTGATCATTATCAAAAAATTTGCATCCCCAATTCGGATTATTAAAAATACTAGTTAATTGTACATACACATCAGGTTCTTGAAAAAAACACTTATAACTTCTCTTTCTAGAATTAAAATAATGAATATAACCTTCAAAAACACTAAAAAATAAACTTTCCAAATATGGGAAAGAAATAGTTTGTTTGCTCAACTGCTTAAAATAATCTTTAAGCTTGCTTCCAATAATATGAATAAGATCTGCTTTAAACTGAGTAATTGCTTCTAAAGGTAATATATATAGTCCTTCATAGCGAATATTGTATTTTTGAACAGTATTTTGATGATGAGTTAAACCTTTTTTAGTTTTATACGTAGTACTACAGATTTTACACTCAAAGTATTGTTGCACGGTAGAAGTACTTAAACTATTAGTTATGCCGCTTTGTCAATTTATAAAAATAAAAAATTTATAAATAAATTAGTTTTTCATAATCTAACATTTTAATGACTTTAGTACTTTTATATTACCTTCTTATATAAAGTATGTGTGATTAGTTTGAGAGTAAGGTGATTGGTTTGACCTATATTAAAATTATTGTTTTATAAAATTTAAATCTTGTTTTTAGAGTAATTTTTGGGGTACAAATTGATCAGCTGATATAAAAATTAAGGCCTAAAAAAAGGCCCAATTCCAAAAATTCGCAGATATGAGTTAAGTTCATCATATAGCAGAGTTAATATTATATTGTCAGCTATGTTAATTGACAAAGAGTTTTCTATTTATTTGCCTAGATACTACTAACCTGTATCTTAAGCCAAGTTCTGCTATTACTACTAATTTGCTACCTTAAAATTTAATATTTTTTTTCTGATATAGTAATACTAACTAATTCATTTGTATTTTCTTATATAGTATATTACCAAAACTATTTTTTAAAATTAGTAACCAATCCTACTTCTAACTATAAGCTTTGTATTATGTTACTAGAAGATATACCCAATTCACATTAACTTCTAACTTGAACACTTGTCTATTGGTTGGTATTATATTATTATTAGTATATTCTGGCTTCTTTTATCATAAACTTCTATATAGGTATGACCAGAGCTCTGATTTGATATTTTTAAATATACTAGATTAGCTAGCTTAACTCTATAAAATTACTTTTTTCAGTTAGTTGTTTTACAGTATCAAAAGTGCTTCTAATTCAAATAAGACTAATCCTTTACTATCCCTTAGATTGTAACACAGGCAAATTTGCCTGCATATTTTAAAATTTTTAATAAAATTTTAAATATTGA